TTAGACTCTGTTTTTTAGAGAAAATATATATATATATATATATATATATATATATATATATATATTGCAGTGTTTATGTTTTATGAATTTCCCTATAGTTTAATAGAACGGAATCACATAAATGTTATTTTTAAAGCAGCTTTCAATCTCTGTGCTGGCATATACCTGACTAAATCAGCTACACTGTCTGTGTGTGTGTGTGTGTGTGTGTGTGTGTGTGTGTGTGTGTGTGTGTGTGTGCCACCAAAAGCATGGTCTCTGAGCCTCAATGAGGTCTCAACAAACGTAGCATACTCTGCATGCCATACCATCATCTCACTTTCCTCATGTCACTATTCGATCTTCCCTTTCGCTGTTTATTTTTCAGTCTCAAGGTCAGCATTAGCTGGCATAATCGGGCAGGATACCACCACACCGCATCCAGCATCTATTTGGTTTACAACACTGCAGTCTACAGCGCACATGCTTGAAGCACCTGCCAACCCATCCCCACTGTAAAGCGCAGGGAAACATTTATAGTCCTGACAGTGATTATTCTGTCTCTGCCAAGAATCTTGCAAAATAGGCCGTTGTAGTCGATGAAGGGAAGTGATTCTGTTATTCCAAGGTTCTGTCCTGCCAGCTGGTTGATGTGTGAGAATGTTGGGACGTCATGTTTGAGTGATATTTGCATACCATCCTGAACGCTTGGTATGGAGAGAAAGTCTTAGCATTATGTGCCTTGTGTTAGAATAGTCAACCTTAACGGAATCCCGTTTCCAATTATACATGGGAAATGATCAAATTCTAAAGAGAGATTTGTATCAGGCAGTAAGTGAATTAAAGAAGGTGAGTGAAGAATTTTTCATCAATATATGTAACTGCAGAATTAGTTGCGATGGCATGTTCTAATGCTAATAAATGAGCGTGATTATCACAGTCGCAGACAGTCTCCCTTTTCATCTGCTTTGTGCTTCCATTTGGGCCAATTTGGGAGGCCACAAATTTGATTCTCGGCAGAATCCTCTGAGGCAAATCGCAAAATGTTCATAGAAAGTCACTCAGAGGAGCTGTAGAGAGGAGGAAAAATGATCAGTGGCAGAACTTTTCACCATCCAGGAAAAATCCTACATTTCCTTGGAAAAAAATGTCAACAGGGATAAGTGGCCACAACACATGCAGGCATTTCAGACAGTGTAGAGCCATTCAATTTACATGCAACACTGTTAGTGTTAATCAAATGTAGAAAATTATCATTTTCCAATTATAAATGGGATTTGTCTGTAATGCAACACAAGCCTCTCAAGTCAGTGAGCTGACACAGTCTCCCTAAGCCTCGCAGCAAAGTAAGTGGCATATTTCTAAACAAAAAATAGTCACAAAAAAAGTCCTAAAAAAAACAAGACAGGATCTATTTACATGTAAATAAACATTTGTAGATGCAAAGGAAACCTAGCAATCCCGCTGATTGATGTCAAAGTGTAGGGATAGAGAGAAAAAAAAGTTGCCTCACTTTTTCAGGCAAATTCCTGGACTTGCAGCACCTGCAGGTTTTGTGATTAATATCCGGGCTTTGACATCATGTAATCTGCCAGACACAGTTCCATGATAGCTTCTATTTTCTCTGCATCATCTGCCGCTGTGTTCAACGAGCCCAATGGTGAGCAATTTTCAAATCTGGGTTGCGAGAGTAATACTGTCCACTTTTGTCTTCAGAGATACAGACTTCATTCTCACACTGTGCTCTTCTTGTCTTTCTCTGCATTTGGATGCAAATGTGGCACCAAGTCGCTGACTGAAGGAAAAACAAAAAACAAAAAAACAACACACTTCAATGTGTTACAAAAGCTTTCACCCTCTCTGACTTAGCCACACTAGTGATAAGATCTATAACAACCAAAGAATAAGACTAATTTAATAAGTGGATGACTAGTTTCGGACCTGTAAGAAAACTGATAAATGGGGGACGGATGAATGTATGGACGGCTGGTGGAAGGGGCTGCAGCGCTACCGCTCCTCCTCCACCTCCACGCCTTCAAAAGAAGCACTTGAGCTGACTAATGTCCCACCACTTGTGCTCATCCATATGCAAATGTATGCAGCAAGGTGCTCCAAAATCTAATCACATTATCTCCTGTATAGGGGATGCTTGTGATATAAGTATGAAATGTGATACCAAAGCTGTGAAAACATTAAGGCATGATAATTGCATGTTTGCATGGATATGAGCTTTTTTGCTTTTAGAATATTTCTGGCAGAAGGCCGCAAGAGCTAAGAAGGACTTCTACTAGCAGGGAGATGTGGGATGATCTTTATTCTGTTGCAACTATTTAAAAACGTGTAAATGCAGTGCTAATGTGCTACAGTATGTTTTGATGGCATTACGGGTATAATGTGATTGACAGTTTATTGCTATCAGCTGAGAGGAATATCAGTGAACTAGTCCATAGTCAGTGTGAGATGATGCCAAACTAACCCATGTTACAAACATGCAGAATTATCCTTTAAAAAGGGGGAAATTTGAATACAGCTGTGCATGTGCACTTGCTGTATTTGGAAACTGCGCGTGCTGACGTCACGATAGGCGATGGCAGTGGAGGTAGAAAGAGCGGGAGGGAGGGAGGGGAGGAGGTTGTGGTGGGGTTGGGGGTGTGGGGGTGGGTGCGGGGGGGGTGTTCCGTTTGTGAACGCGCCTGACGGATCCCCGGCGGAGGGGCAGCGAGGGCGCGCATCTCTGTCCTCCGCTTGTGAAGCGACTGCAGGGGAGCCAGATGCCCGACTGCGAGCCGCTGCCTGTGGATACCTATCCCAAATGCCAGAGCAGGCGAGAACCACAGACACATTTCACCCTCTGGCAGTGAGCGGAGTAAGAATTGTTTTTTATGTTTTCCTCCTCCTCCTCCTCCTCCTCCTCCTCCTCCTCTTCCCTCTCCCCTCCAGCTTGCCTCGCTCTCTCTGTTTCAACCTCTGCTTCAGATGAGGAGCTTCCTTGGACTTGGAGTACCGGGCATCAGTAGAAAAAAACCCCGTTATCCCACAGCTCTGCCCCTGCTGCTGCGGCGCTGCTGCCTGTGAGCGCGTCCTCTCGCTGCTTGGGAATATACAGCTTTGCCTATATGCGCAAAACCATGGAGATTATATGACGTGGATTTATTTTTTGAACAAAACTGGACATCTACAGTAACGACGTCCCTTCTCTTTTTTTTTCCATTTTTGTTTTTTTGCATTGCCTTTTGGCGTTCCTCTCTTCTGTTCTTTCCTTTGATCTACATGGCTACTTTATGATTTCATGTCCTTAGCGGTTCTTCCTTGTTTTTATTTATTTATTTATCTATTTATTTATTTATTTATTTTGTACACTTCTTATTTTTTTTGGTCCGTTTCGGAGGCGCAGAAGTGGGATGCCTCGCAGAGAACATTTGTGGGGAGAAGAATCCGCGCAGCAGCAGCGAGGAGGCTGAATGAATGATAGTCTCCCTCTCCATCTGAGACGTGCCATGGATGGGAAACTTAATTTGTTTCCACGGAACCGATCGGGGAATAGCCGTCGCATCAAATAACTAGGCTACCGCTGACAGCGATCAGGTAACGTGTTCTGTCCATTAACCTCCACATTAAGAACATGTAAAAAAAAAAAAAAAAAAAAAAAAAAAAAAAATCGTTGGACTGTTTCTTTGCGCCATGTAGGCTACTCCAGATTGCTTTGCAGTCTGTCGGCTTATTTATTTATTTATTTCATTCTTCTCATCCTTGTGTAAAGATCATAGTGTGTGTAAGTGTAGTCCAGTTTCTACTGGCGCATAGATTCTCAGATTGACAAGAGACGCTGGACAGTCATTTTTCTTCAGTCCGGGCTGTTTTCACCGACACTGAACTATAGATATCGGGGATGTGTGATCTGTGAACCTGAACGGAAGTACCGGCCACAGAAAAAAAAAACAAAAAAAAACAATGCCCAAATACATCTCAGCAGTTGAATTTCAGCCCGTTAGTTGAGCACAGGTGGACGGCGTCAGCCTCCTGAGTGCTGAATCCCTCAGTGGGAGACACAGAGAGCTGTATGGTTGCCTCTAAAGCCGCTGGAAGACCTGTAACTTTGCGCAGTGGCCAAAAGAAACACACTCACACACTCACTCACGCACACACACACAGCGCATCGTGCGCAAACAGCCTGCACAGACACTTTAATTTCCACCTTCCATACACTGACTCGCCTTTCTCAACGCATTCACATGCTCACGTCCGCACCTCTACCCCTCAACACACGCACGCACGCACTCACACACTCACACACACACACACACACACACACACACACACAAGGGCGCGCGCGCGCGCACAAGGATGGTGTTCTCCTGCCTAGAACAGGGGGGTTTTCCACGATGCCATTTTGAGTTTAGAATAACATGTATAAATCAGAGCCGCACCGAAGCTTCTTTAACTGAGCTCCTAATGGCTGGAGATGATTGCTGGCACGAGGACGTCTCCTCCGTGGCCCTGTTCACGTACAGCATTAGGTTAGAGGGCTGATGCCGATGCCCCCCCCCCCCCCCCCCCCCCCCCCCCCCTGTGCGCACTGTGCGCCTGGGTGAGTGAGTGCCTTCTCCCGGTGAATGCTAAAGAGCCAGGATGTACCAAAGACGCCAGTGAGCGTGCACTGGGGATTGAAAGGGGGCTGCTTGACTTACATCCGTACTGGCATCTCACCACGCAACAGAAAGCCCTTTGAAAGCTACCTGATCACGCACTGAGGTCCGATTTATTTGTGCGGGGCGCCTCTCGCTGTGGCGTGCGTCTGCCGCAGTGCCGCTTCTCGTTACCATACCTCCTCCCAGTCTATTCCCTGTTATCTTCAGTTAAACGATAAGTATGCGGTGGGGTTTTTATGGAGCTCCTCAGACGTCCCCCTCCCACCAACACCACCACCTCCACCCCCACAGGGTAGCGAGCAGGTGGCTCCGGTGACGCTGAGCGGGAATGACAACCGGGACGCGACAACAGGAGTGCAAAGGAGCCTCCGAGCATCCTCTCTGCTTGTGTGCGTGTGTGTGTCTGTCTGACTCTCTATACCCATCTGTTGAGCATGCAGTGTGCTCGCGCACCTGAAAACAAACTCCCCATCGCTACGATCAAATCCCCTTAAATAATGACGGGTTGTAACACACATGGCAGCAGCGACCTCCATCATTTTTACTCCCCAAGTAGCCATCTGTGGCATGTTGAACAATTTCCTTACAATATTACCACTTATTCCACCACTGAGTAGAGCCAAACTCCACTAGAGCAGCCTGTGGGTGAACAGGTGGAGGCTATTTAACAGGGACACTGATTCATGAGCAGTGACTGTCTCTTTTGGTTCTTGGCACCATTCAGGATTTGGATTAGCAGGTCAGAGTTAGCCATATTACTCATATTCTCAGAGGAAGTTCATCAATCATGTAATAGATTTTTAAAGAAAACCATACAGTATGACCACAGAACAATATTAAAGAAATATGATACTGACTTTCCATTTCGAGATCTCTCTGTTCTCTGTACCTCCACCCTGAGCATTGAATAACCATAACCTCACCTCATCTCTCCTTTTTTTTTTCTTTTAAATGCAGTGAAGAACCTCGTTTGTTTTATGTCTCGGGGCTGCTGTCGGAACTAATGGAACCGGCGGGGCCGTGTCCCCTTTTAGCAGAGATGAGAGACCCACGGGTGATGGCTCATGAGTTGGATGTGAGAGGAGGCTCCTTTTTAACCCTGCCGGGTGGAGGACAAAAGGTGGTCAGGGGGCAGCGGTTCACTAAAGCTGTGGAAAAGTCCCTTCACAGCCTTAATATCATCTGCAGCAAAAACAAAAAACAAAAAAAAAACTTCCAAGCCTGCTTATATCCACTCAGTGGATCTGTGTTCTGTTCATCCTGAGAACATGTGAAGCAGAGACTAATGAGCTTATAGAACACTGGTTCTTGATGCTGCACGGCTTTGATTTCTTTAATGGGGCTTCCATGTAAAGTTGTGAGGATTTGTTTCTCTTGGTTATGACTAAGAAAAGTAAAAGGTCAAATCTGGGCTAACTTTTTTTGATTTAAAGTGAGTGTCACCCAATAATTACCCACAGAAACCATACTCATGTTAACCTCCCTGTGGTGTGTGATACATATTTTTTTACATTTGTTTTCCCGAAAAGGCCTAATATAACTGTTTATAAAGCATAAGGGCACATAAATTAGAATTTAATTTTGTTCATAGTTGCTTTCATGAAACAAAAATGCATTTTCTCACTCATAGCCTGATAGTTTTTGTTTCATTTGACCAGATTTTTGTTAAGGGGCCCTGCACGTTTAAGTGGATCCAAATACAGAACACACCACATATGTAATCTCTTTTATTTCTCAAGTCAACATGAAACCTGAAAATTGAGAGCCAGAATGGGCAGCTCAACTGGCTGCAGGCAAAAGCAGTAAACTAGGGGGCAGAACTGACTGAAGTGGAGGGAGCATGGCGCTGGTGACTCCGAAACCCAGCAACCAGAATCTGTAACAACAGGGCTTTTACAGTGCAGTGAGCTTGGCAAGTGAGGCAAAGGAGGAGGCTGATCAGTCCCCACCAATGGGATTCCTGTCAACTGCTGTGAATGCCAAGGGAGCGACAACCTCACATTCAGCACCATGGACAGCAATCATGGGATCCTCTGGTTTATGCACAGACCACTTTACACAGGTTTCAATGGGAGGTATTTTCTAAAGAAAAACACACTGCACTCAAAATACTTGTGACAGTGTCTTCTGTGGGTAACCCAGAGCAAATGCACTGTATACAGTATGACAGTCAACCTGGTCAAATAAAAACATAACTATTGATCTCTACTAGGCCAAATATCACTACTGTAGAGAAGTAAGTGAGAAAATATGTTTGTATTTATTGATTGAACTGGACCTAAGAAAAGGGTTTCAGGTATTGGTGTAAGACTGTTTATAAAGTTTATAGTTTCTCATTTTAATTTAAAACCAACCAAGTGGATTTTATTAATAATAATGTTCTTTGCAAAAGAACATACTGCATTTGTGGTACATGATCTCTTAGAGTTCAGAGCTGGCATCTGTTTTGTTCGTATTTTCATTTATTTTGTGTGCCAGAAGCAAAAGCCTCCGCTCTGGGTTTGTGTGTCCCTCACCAAACTGGCCAAGGTCAGTGTCCACAAAGATCTCCAGAGATCTCTCTAGCACTTCTTGCAAGAGCTTCTTCCAGGCGGAGTGATGCAAGTGCATCAGTCACAGATACAGTTTGTGGGGCTACCACAGAGTGACGTGTTGGCAAGATGGAGAGGCCTTATACAACATATCGCCCAAAGCTACAGTACAAGAGCTGATGTCATACGTGGTCACAGTGTTTTTGTTTTTTCAGGTGTAATTATTGGGTGCTATGAGTCACAGAAAGGACTCGCTGCAAGGCTGGATGCACAGCTGGATACCTTAAGGAAATCATATGCAGAAAAAAAAAATCATTACAGAATGAAGATATGAAATTGGTCCATTTTGACCAAAGCACTACAGGAAGGTTAAACGGGACAGAGAAATGAGACTGCGAGTAATGACTGCGCTACCTTTCGAATGATTGTCTGAGCAGCTGCTGGAAATGCAACTCAAATGAAAGTGGGACACATATCAGCTGAAGATGAATGAAAACCACCCAGCTCTGTGGCAGTTTTATAAGGCCTGTAAATGTGATACTAATAACATCTTCAATATCCGCTCACGTGTCATGCACTAATGCTGGCATTGCTGAATCTTTCTCCCTCTCCCTCTGTCACACACACACACACACACACACACAGACACACACACACACAGACACACACACACACAGACACACACACACACAGACACACACACACACAGACACACACACACACAGACACACACACACACAGACACACACACACACAGACACACACACACACATATACACTGCACACACACACCTCTCTCTCTCACTCTCTTTCTATCTCACATCTCACTTTCACTCAAGCAACTCTGATGGGCAAATGTGTGAGGGAGTGTGCACCAACACACACGCAGCGGGAGGAAGAAAATACAACACACAAAGTGATGGTGGCACATCAAGCTCTGTGTGTGTTCATGTGTTCATTTGTGTGTGTGTGTGTGTGTGTGTGTGTGTGTGTGTGTGTGTGTGTGTGTGTGTGTGTGTGTGTGTGTGTGTGTGTATGTGCGCATGCATTCTGTTTAAATAATGCATATGGACCAGGGGCCAGGCGACAGCTTGGTCTTGCCTGGATCACTGCACCCTGGCTGGACCATTGTTCCTCCGACATCCCCCTCCCCTTCCCTCTTACACACACAAACACACACTTGCTACCCTTTGCCGGCCTTTCCCTAACAGGCTTCCTGCTCTCTATTCCTCCTCCATCTCTTTTCCTTCTGTTCTTTACCCGTCCAGCTACCCGATTGCTCTCCTATTATATTGGAGCTCTTCTAATTTCCTGTGATTTCCCATCTTGGCCTTGTTGTTTTGAAATCGTCAAATCAGTGACTATTTTTGATGAACCGCTCCCATGAGTGGTCTGCACTGGTAAG